AATACATGCCTCATATGCGAACAACTTACTTATCGACTCCACAGTGTAAAGATGGTATGATTGCCGAAGTGGTACTGGGAGTTTTTTTGTCAGATTGCTCCGAAATGGCGTCATTATTGATCGATATTCCTCGGGATGATCCATCTGTATCAATATCTAATAGCTTTTACTACCATTCTCACCAAATCATCTCATCCAGTAATAACGTCAGTAGGAACAAATCTCTTTTTTTACTTTTTACAGAAAAAATCCTGCACTAACAACGTACAAGTATCCGTCTATAACACATAAGAAAACTTAATGAAATGTAACGGATTCTTTATTAAAGACTATAGAAAATCAAAACAGTTTCAAATGTTAATTAACAAGGGTAGTTCGCAGAATAGTTCGTTCAAATACTCAACATCTTGTTTACATATTTCTAATTAAGAAATGTTTGAGAAAAAAAATCCTAAAAAATCGGATACTATGTACACTGCATTGACGATTCTCCTACTATTTCTCCTACATTATTACACAGACCGCGTTTAGACTGACATTTTGCTGAAAACGAGGCTCCTAAAGTAAATACTTCAAGTAAAAACCTTGTATAATCCTTTTAAATTTTGCTATTATATGACTTTAAAACTTGTTTTATATAACTGAGAAGAACGGTAAACAGTTAATGATGGTTAATATAGAAACTTTTTATTTTCCTACTGTTGTGGCTGACTGCGTACGAAGAAAGAAAAAAACGGTAAAGGTACGTTGTTTTCGTTTTTTACTTCGCGCTATTCTATATGAATGAAGAAATTATTACTTGAAAATTTCCAACTGATCAGAAGCAGATGATTGTAGTTATACGTCATTTAAATTATGTTTGACATCTCAACTTTATTTTATCTTGGGTTTATGTGTATTTTATCGAGATGACAGGTTTTGTTTCAATGTACCGTACTTCCGAAGTCTTTCTTTTTCATAACATATATACTGAATAATGCGAAAATACTCTTGATCAAGTATTTCTGAACTATTCCCAAATCCGGTAATTGATAATTCGTTACCAGCCTCATCATGATACATTTTTTGCTGACTGGTTTTCTCTGGCTCGTGCTCACTCCTTTACTCTTGCAAATTTACTTGTTCTAGACTAAATAGGCATTTTAGATCATTGTCGAATCTCTCACATGAAAAGTCATGATTTGAAAAGTGAAATTGTTCTTATAAAACTTAATTAACTCTCGACCGTTAGGTGGTTGCAATCTAGACGTGATGACATCTTGTAGAGCTTTCAATTCTCTACAAAATGACCCGTAAAACTTTAGACCTGGCCTCATGCCGAAAATTTTGCTACAACCAGCTGTGCCATCGCTACCACTACGGCAGCTTTTTTCCAAAAAATCATTTCTAAGAAACGAAAACACACTTTTTATAGGAAATCGCTAGTCCTGATTACAAAACATACCAGGCAAAACCGAGTTAAACATATGCACTTCGGTTTTGCCTTTGTATCTGAGGATTCTTTGTCTCTTACTCTTATGCATGCGTCACGAGAGAGATTGACCTTCACAATCTCTCTGCATAACTCAGATACCTGTTTGGTTGATCAGGAGCATCACAGAAAGGAATTTTATGTAATTATGTAAAGTGATGTTATCATCCTTCTTCTTTCTCCGGAGGATATTACAAAGGCAAATATTATAGTCTTTCTTTGCTTTATATATCTAAGTGTTATGTGAAAACTCCGTCAGTTGAAGCATTTTTTGGTATAGAAACATTCTTCGCGAAGAAAAAAGTGCATAGTATAAACTTAAATTTTCAAGTGACCGCTTTATGACGGCATCCTCGATCCACTCACGAATCCTCTCTTAAGTTTTCACTTAGTAAAGCGCAAATTTCTAGAAAAAGTCAGCGATTGCATTTTTGTTTAAAAGCTATGACATTGAAATAGGAGCACGTTCTAGAGATCTACTTAAATGATTTCTAGATTAAGGAAAATATAGCAAATCGGGCTATTTTACAGTGGAGTGGTTTGGGAAGAAACGATATAGATATTCTAATTCGTTATTTTGCGTAGAGTTCGATCTGAGGTCCGCTTTTTGGTACAAGATCTGCTTTTCGAGAAATAAGCGAAAAACTGGTTTTGTTGAAATTCCTGCTTTTCTCCAGTTTTTTCGTTTTGTTATATAGATGTATCTTTTCTTCTTCGAATGCTTCTTGATTGGAGTGTTGCTAAGGTAGAAACAAAATGGAAGAGAGAATAATTTAATATTATGTACAAGTATAACACTTTCATGTCCGACTGTACGCCGATGTTTTTTTGCTCTTATTGTACTAGGAAAACCGAAGTTATATCCAAAACAATAAAAAGTGTAACAGATTTATACCTGTCGTTTTTTGAGAGTGACAACTATGTTTGATTGCGAATAATGACTTGGAAGTTTTTTACCATGCGTTGCTGAACGTTTTGCTTCACTTTTCCAAAAAGGAATATGGGACATAACTTAAGCAGTGGATTAGTCAGCAGTGGACAGTAGTGGATTAGTCTCCATAAAATTCCCGATATCTTTCGCATTTTAACATATCAGTACTTTGTATTTGTGCCATTTTGTGTGTGAAAATGATACGCTTAATTTTGATGCTTAGCTGGTGAATGTTGTGAGTATTTATAATGTCGTACTTTCCTTCCTGCAATAAATTACAACCCAAACAAACCGTATACGCACAAAGTATAAATGTGTTTTTCTATGCTTATTTTTGGATGATTTATGTGAATTATACTATTCATATTCCTCATCATTTCATAATCATCAACAACGCGCTGATAGTAATCATTTATTATCACCTATTTGTGACAATATTCGTCAAATGACAGATAATGGATTAACAGGTGTACAAGTTAAAAAGTTAATGAAAGTATTACATCCAGATCTTTCCTTTGATTCAAAAATCAAAAGTGCCGCTGAACATAAACATCACGCAAAATCGTTGCGTATAAAATTCATTGTAGAATTATATTCGTGGTGTTCTCAACGTAATACATATCCATCAGCTGATAAAATACATGACGTTTTCGTAGCATATTTTGAAGCTGTGGATGTGAAAAATAGGTTTATTTGTTTAACTTCACGTCAACTACTTTCAACATGTAAATATTCCTGTGTATTACATATTGATTGTATATATAAGTCACAGCTAACGAGTTATCTGTGGTACATCCACTTTCAATAGCAAGGAACTATTGACACCCCATCGAACTGGCAGCAAGAGCTATTGACAGTTCAAAATGCACTTACACACTGCATAAATGTGTTATTCAAACAAGACCATCGTCTGGCGGTAACATGAAACTATTCTAGTGGCTCACACTCAGCGGCGTATCCAAGGGGGGGGCAAATGGGCAATTGCCCATTTCATTTGGGGATTTGCCCATTGTAATTTTTATTAGTAAGCTTTTGCCCATTGAAATTTTACTTAGCAGATATACCCAGGCGGTTTCTTTTTGTATAACCCTTAGAAAGATATTTGTAAGAGTGCCTATAGACAGAATTGTTTGTTTATTTTTGAAATAGAATCTAATTCAAAAATTAAAAGGATCTCATTTCATTTTTTTGTGTTCTTTTTGGACCAAAAATCTTTTGGCCCATCGACAAAAACCTTGCCCATTTTGCCCATCGTTTTTTTCCGATACAATAGAAGTTTGCCCATTGTACTAAAAATCCTGGTTACGCCGCTGCTCACACTCATGCACAGTCATCTCACCCACACCAAACCACCTCTCATAGACCGTCAAATTCGGAACTAACTCAACATAGCCCTTTGATATAACACATTTATGCATTGCATAAGTGCATTTTGGACTGTCAATAGCTTGCTGCCAGTTCGATGGGATGTCAGTAGCTCCTTGCTGCCAGTCTTTGGACTGGCAATCGTTGAAACAAATATACAAACGATGGATAAATTCAATCAAAAAACTTTTAAGTGGACAAAAGGGATAAAAGAAAACGTAGTCGAAGAGATGTTCATTATCAACACTGTCCGTGTTGTTCAGATATCATTCTGACTTGCTAAGTAGCGAAAAAGCACTGGAATCCAGATTATAGTATCAGGAATAGTCAAAATGAATAAAACAGGATCTCGAAAATCTCTAGCAGAAATATCTGAAAATACATAGTGACAGCTGAACGTTCATCAGATAAAATCATGACTATAGACGTAGTTCTTTTTGTATTCTTTAGTATTTTAAATATTGTCCATTTCGATAGTATGTTTGCCAAGTCTTATCAAGTGTTACATCCACAAACAGGCTTTTTGGCTCAGAATTTCAATGCAACTGAGCTAATTTTCTATGTAGTCTGTGTTTTACATCTTCTATAAATTAAAAAAACAAATCAAAAACACTAATCTAATTCATTCCCTCATTATAAATATTCTACAGTGTTCACCAATCAATAGTGTTATTGAATTTAAATTGATTTCAATATCATCTTTTCATTGTGTATTTGTTTCTTTTGGTTAAAAAAAGAACTGGATCAGTTGAAAGTAGAATCTAGTCATAATCAGATAAGCGTTTTTTCGGTGCAAACATATTCATACGCGCGTCCTGTAGCGGTTTATTTTGTGCTCCTTAATACTAAATATGTTATCAGTGTAGTGAGTTTTTATATCTCATCGCTGTATTCGTATTTTTTCCACAGATGGTGTAGGTCTCAGCAATGAAAACTATTATCATTTGATTACTCGTTCTTTGTTTCAAGGATTAGACTCCATACTTTCAGCCAGATCCAGCCCACAAATTGATATTTGTCTCTCGTTTTTCAAATTACTCTCATATGAAACAAATTACAGTCTTCATCCAAATCAGTTCTTTTATCGTTTCATTGTCCGTGTTAGTTATCTGTGGAACTCGAGTAACGATTAATAATCTTAAACCTCGACTAGATATCAATGGGACGATCATCGATGCACACGATGGCACTATTCAGCAGTTTGAAAAAGATGGCCTTTATTACATGCACGCAATGCAATACGGTCTATGCGAAGAACCACCAAATTATGGTTGTGATGGGGTGCGTGTAAACCACATTCTTACATTAATTTTTAGCAACTAAAGTTTTCAAAGAAAAAAAAGAATTTTAAAATTGCAAGAAAAACGACGAAAAACCGGTGTACTGTTTCTGCTGAATTTCAGAAGCAAATCAAAAATCAAACATTGTAGGCAGTTCGTTGTTTCGTTTTACATTTGAAAAAAAAATGAGAAGTCAACAGTTGATTCTATCTTAGGCTGGAATGCCGAGTAAATGTGGTTTCCGACCCGATCACAACATAAGTATTTGGGCCTCGCCGAATTTAACATCCGGATCATGGTCCTACGTTGGTAATGCTATCGACGTATCTGATAGACCAGCAGGTATTTTCCTTGAAGTAACATTCTTTCGATATACCTTTTATTAGTTTGAAGGCGTTGTTTTCCGTCCGCATCTTGTTTACAATCCAAATACAAAGCTATACGTTCTCATCTGGAACTATATGCGATGGAGTCAACAAAGCTTATACGGAGTCGCTATAGCCGAAACGCCACGGTATGTCGCTAGTGTTGCTCATTTTTCGATGGAAAAGACATCCCCATGCTCTAATTCAAATTGCGACATTCAGTTTTAAAATTTTAGTGGCCCCTTCAAATTAGTTAACGCTGCTTTGAATGTGTCTCGAGGCGGCGGAGGTAAATGAAATTTATTATTGTCTTTTATACTTGTAACCTCTATGATCATTTTCAGGCGATTTCGATATCCTTGTTGATGATGATGGAACAGCTTATATAGTCTATTCTCAAAACTATTATATGAGTATTGAGCAACTGACAACTGATTTTTACTATTCGACGGGCAATTCGTACATGTTTCAAGAATATTTTGTTGAAGCACCTGTTTTTTTAAAGAAAGATAATATCTACTATGTATTATTTGGTTGGTGTTGTTGCTATTGTATGCAAGGTAGTGGTGTGCTTGTACATACAGCCAAGAATCCGATGGGACCATACACACTTCAGGTATCCAAACTGCCAAGGCTTTAACTGAAATTTAGCGATATTTAGAACGTCTAGCAAAAATAGAGTATCGAATAATACTTCATCAGATTATGAGATTCAATATCGAAACTTTTTGATAGGCTGAAGGTGATCTTGCTTGTGTAATGCCCAACAGCACCAATGAAATGTCAATCACGAAAATGCATTCGACATTGATTGGCGGTTTACCCACACCTAATCAGGGCTGCGAATTTCACAATGGAAGTACAACATCTATCGTACGATCTCAACAAAACTATATAATTAAAGTTACAAATTCAACTGATTACACCACCTATGTATGGACAGGTGATAGGTAAGATTATCGCTCATTCAAATCTATAATTTTTGTTATTCTTGGCAATAATTTTTTTTAAAAAACACTACAAGTGTTTTCATCTGATATGAATTCGATCTTCATTCGTTTTAGGTGGCAACAAGCACCCGACGGAATAAAAGGTCATGAACCGCAGTTTTGGGTACCTCTCAGTTTCGATCGAAATGGAGTGATCGGAAAGATGGAATGGGTGGACGAATTCATATTAGATGTGTGATATTTGTGTTACTGTGTTGTTTATAGTAATAACTTCTATTCTTTCTACAAAATGTTCTTCGTAATCAATCATTAAAATAGAATGTTTATGGATATTATTCGCTTTCTGACACAAAAAAAGATATCGAGACTATTACCCATTTCAGAAAAGAAAAAGAGTGGGTATTTTTCGAATAACTTTTGATGGAAACAAGATAGAGAGCTGCAATTTTCACCATTCGAAAGAAGCTGTATCACTGTACAGTTTCATATATTATTCAACAACATTGTTTCATAGGCTAATTGTCAATCAGTGATACTCGGGAAAATACGAAAAGTGCTTTGAGATTACATGAATTTTCAATTGTGCGGAGTCTTATAAATCCCTCAGCTCAAGATCTACAAATCTACGCAAGCCCGATCTTTCTGTGTTCTTTCGTTCAAAAGTTATATGCGTTTCACTAATTGTGTTGACACATCGGATTCAGCTGTTTTGAGTATTGTTTCGATCTTTCAAAAGTGTGTGATTCACTCAGCAATCATATGTTCGAGTATTTTCAATCGAAAGGAACTGTTCTTGGTTCAGTGGGACACATTTTTGCCGAGCCACTGCGCTAATAAGCAGTTTATAGTCCAACAGGATCACAGCAATGCCACACAGTTACGACAGTTTAGTGACAGAGTCAGTAACTCTCACGCACCTTATATCACATAAAGCTGCGTGAATGCGCTCATCTGTACATATATGTATGATAGAAAGGGAACAACCTACTACTGTATGAACTGAAGAACAAGGAAGAAACTTGAAGCCACTTATTCATTCCTCTTTTAGATAAAATTAAAATAAGCTCACATAAAACTATTTTCGATCGACATATGCAAGTTTTTTGAATGCCCCGAAACTACTGTTTCAAAAACGTGATTTTTGCAAAATGCCAAAAAGGAAAAATTTATCGTGCGTTCTACATTGTGGCGCCAAAAACATGTTTTCTCACAACTAAAAGATAGAGCTTTTGAGGCGTTACAATGATAGCTAGTTCATTTTCTTAACACCTCAAAGTGCGAGCAAATAAAACCAAGCACATCTTTTTTTTGCTAGAAAGTTTAGAAACTTGGATGTGCTGAAGCCTCACAAACTCCTCCCTTTAAACATAAACTAGTTTACAATCTAACAGTTTGACAAAGAAGACATCGCTCAAATAAAAGATCCACACATGTATAATATAACACATTTCATTTTACTTTTACTACTCGGAAAATAGAGAACCGACATTTGTGTGATATCAGACAAATACTGCTAATTATAAAACTTTCTCTCTTCTCGTTACGCTTCGTATAAAGTCGTTGACACTAGAGGAGTATCACAAAACGTCTGTTTCTATACATTATTCGTGATCAGCGTAAACAAAAATCTATTTTTGTCTCTGAGTTCAAAAGTTTTCTCTGACGATATGGAATAGTTTTCTCCATCATATATTTTTTCTATTTCTCTCTGTTTTCTGTATAAAGCACAGAAAAGAGAGAAAATAAGAATTTACAATGGGAAAGGAGTCGAACATTGCTTATGGCTACGAGGAAGAAATTGAATGATGCAATAAAGAACACAAGTTAAACAATGACTGATGTTTGAAAGAAATTCATAATTTCTTTTCCCATGTTATTTTCTAAGTTCTAACATTCACTGAATCATATTACCTATTATGAGTGATAACCAAACTAGAAAATTAACTAATTTAACTGGAAAAAACACATTACCGACCGAACAACTGTACGTTTCCGAAACAAAAAGTCGTTCAACCGTTAAAGGGAAGATGGAAGAAATTATCTAACTCTTAAAAGAAAACTGTGAGCATTTGGTACCTAAAATAATCCGTTTTCTCAGCTGATGGTAATATTCATGTTTCATCATTCGAGAAACACTGAGTGACAGAGATCCACAGCGGTTGGCTCGGATAATCGCAGTAGAATCAGACTGCAATAGCTACACTTAGTCAACGATAACGGTATGTCTCCACCTCTAGGTGCTTCTCCTCAACATGTAGAGCTCGATATCAGTAAATACTCATTGTTCCTGGAAAATACAGGGAACGTGTCGTACACGGAAAATGTCAGCACGAAATCATTACCAGACACGAATCCGACTTTGCCCAACCCAAACTAGAGCAAAGACACAAGCTCGAACCTAGACTTCGTACCCGATTTCTAAAGAACCTTATGAAAAAGACGGGAAACGTTTGCTTTAAATTTCTCATCATTCATTTGTACTATAGCACTAACGGTATAATATGCCGAATTTTGAAAGAAATTCATCTTCCACATCGAAAGTTATAAGCAGTTTTTGTACATGTCAAAACCATGAAACATGTGCTAAAACCAAATTTCTTTACTGAAACGGAGCAATATTTTCCAAAAAGGATAAAAATAGTTATAGTAGATACTTGAAAGAATGTATTGTGAACGTTTCAGCTAAATCGGATGCATCGTTGGGTCGCTAGCCGAGGCAATACTGCAATTTTTCGCTATTTTTTTTGTGAAAAATGAATCGTGTTGATAAACAGAGGTGAAACTTGAAAATGTTATATCTCGAAAGCGAAAAATTATGATGAGTGCCATTTTGAAGAGGACGCGTTACTCTATATTTTACCATGTTTGACTAAGTCTTCAAAATTTTCTGTCGCATGTCGGAAACTGAGGGTGAGAATGATTTTGTATAGTGTCATATTAATGAAACATTCGTTTCACGTACTGATTTAATTTCCTCAAATTATTAGTGCCCTATAGATAGATACTTTAATCATGCGTGTTTAACATCGTATTACATCCATCTAAAGAATACACATGCATCACGGAATTTACTTTTTTCTTAAATTGGGTAGAATACAACGTAGGTTCATTAGTGAAAAGTAGCTGTTGAAAATTTTGTTTCCGTTATCCATTTAATTTGTTTTACACAGAAATAATAATCCAGGATGGCAGCCAGTGTCATCTACAGAAGACCTGCATGAAATAACAACTTTTCATCGTTATAATTAATATTCTTTGAGTTCTGATTTCACCAACACATAAGACAAGTGACAACGTTCATTCTCTTCATTTTTCTTATATAAAAAAATATATTGTCCTTCCATAAAAATAACTGCACTGTTACATGATTATAATATGTTGTATGAAGAATGACGAAAAAATTCCAGATATAATTTGGATAAAAAACAAAAGTATATTTCATTTCAGGAAGTCTAAAATAATACGAGCACAATAATTATGTCACAGCGTAAATGGGTAAGTGTTTATTTCGAACTATTATTTTTGTTTAACTAACGACAAATATTTTTAATGTTTGATTAAGTAACGTGTCTCAGAACAGCAGAATTGTGACTAAAACAAAAATACATCTGATTGTAATAAATCAAAAGGCCTAAGTTGCTAAAAACTACACTGGTTACGTTGTAAATGATAAAGTTTTGCCATTCACAGTTTATTTAATTGCGGTGAATAAGGGATTTACTTGGAGTGTATAACCTATGTACGTAGTGCAGTGCATATTTTCGTCAAATGTTTGTCCACGTATTTGGCATATGCAGGACATCTATTTTCCATCTACTATGTGTGGGTGAGCTCATGGTTTTGCTGTAGCGAATGGAAAATGCGTTATGTGTTCACTGGTTATTCTCTAGGTAGCATGTACATAAATTTGTGTCTTTCACTTTAGAGGGATACTGATATCTTGAGAAATTAGATATCAGTGGAATTCACGAGATATTAGTGAACTATAGGAGATATGAGCTAAATAGAACAGAGATTAGTGAAATACATGAGAAATTAGCACATTACCCTCACAGACGGCTTGTGACTACCAAGTGCCCTTCTGCTGTGATATGACCGAAAGAGTGGATAGATTAGTGAAATGTTTTCTGGAGACTCACTCACTCCCATGTCGCACATTCCGCCTTCTCCTCCCGCTCACGAACATATTAATTATTTATTAATGATAAAATAACTTGTTTGATACCGATGAAATAATGGAGTTAATCGTGTTTGTAGTAGTATCCCTAGGTTGAGAAACCCTTGCAGGGTATTGTAGCACATATTATTAACTCTCATCCCCTTTAGTACACGCTTTATTATTTTTGGATTTGCAATAGCCTGTAGTTTGAAAAGTCAATCACAATTAGAAATTGGACAAAGAACTTTTAAATAATTCTAAGATACTACTGTTATTATATTTCACAGGTATCTCGTGTAGTTCACTAATATCGGGTGTATTTTACTAGTGTCTTATACAATGTGCTAATATCTCCTCTGTTTCACTAATATCTCGAGCAATTTTATATATCTCAGTTTGTGAGATATCGGGCATTACTGCCACTTTAACAGCAGTGAATAAAATTATTTACAGATCATTTACATGCATTTCACTGCAGTAAATGGTAGGTAAATGAAAACAGAAGAAGAATAAAAACAAAAGACTAGTCTGCGATTTTTCGCCATCTACTATTAACAGTAGATCTATACTTTAAAAGTATTTGAAACAGGAAAATGAACAATGAAAAATAGCTTTTCATTGGAACATAGCGATAGCAATAGAGATAAGATGAAATATTTCTTCATTTCTTTGTATTATTTATAGTGTCAATATTCATTAGAGCCGTATCAAATAAGGAATATCCTTTTGCTTGCTTCGCAAGCATCTAACAGACTTTTAGTATGTCTATGACTTTAGCTGAAACTATTGTTCATAGCTCAGTCATTTTTGAATCAAATTAAAAACAAATTTTGTCGTTAGATTCGAAAGGCTACTGTCTGTTCAGAAATCTAAAAGAGTGCCAGACTTTCACAGTGGAACACTACAAAGAAATATCTTTCTTTCGTTTTCTTGACATTCAGTTGATTTTTCTACATGGGGAACAAATATGTTGATTTTGATGCAGTCCTTCGCAGCGTTTCACTACGAAAGTCTGGAGCGTTTAGGTTTTTTTAGTAGATACCAGCCTTTCGAATTTAACGGCAAAATTTGTTTTTAATTTGATTCAAAAATGACTGACGAGGGTTGGGGTGACGAGGGAGTTATTTCATTCTAAGACAAGTATTAAAAACACCTAGCAAGGAGTTAGGAAGATATTGCTCATATCAACTTCGAAGGGAAACCTTTAGAAACTTCCTTCCTTTAGAAATTATCTTTAGAAACGCAGTAGATACGTGTATATGACGATACAGTACGGAGCGTATGCCTCTGGATATTATAACACTGTTATAAGCTTCGCCATAGATAGTTTTAATGTGATTTTTCCAGCAGTTGTGGTTCAGAATGCTCTGGTCTTTGTCTCTGTTTCAGATTACACTAAGAATTGGCTCAATAAATGAATTGAAGAATTGACAGAATTGAAAATAATTTTTTAAGTTGAGTCTCGATGTTCTGTTCCATTTTTAAAAATTTAATAAAATTTTCAGATTTCTACATATAGCCTCGATTCTGATGTCAGTCGATAGAGGACATCAAGATGTATCTACAACAAATTCAGTCAAGCTTTCGGTCAACTTTTGACTGAGTTATTCCGCTTTGACCTGCCTCATGGCATTTCGAAGGAAGAAGTATTTTTAAAAACACATTGAACCAAATTTCGCTAGAAAGAAGCATTTTCAAGGAAAAGTGTGGGTACAAAAGTTGTTCAGAATCAGACTCCTTGAAAGAAGGATCTTTAAAACTTGTTAAACTGGATTTTTAAGTTGAAAAATACGGTTTTTAAAATTTAGTAAAATTTAATTTAAAAGTTCAGTTTAACTAATTTTGAAAATTTCCTCTTTCGATGAGTCTGATTCTGAACAACTTTCGTACCCGGATAATTAAAGGTTTTCGAAGTCAGATAATGCCAGTAAGCCGAAAAAACTTCTGGACCTATACTTCCAAGTATGCTCTACAAACTGGGAACGTTAGAGGGAAATCTAAATGAGCCCTCCCCCTTAACTGCGATATTTTGTCGAGTCATTTTATTCACTGATCAGGCACTGAAAACGGCCATCAAACGTAGGTAAAATATTGCATAACATGTGAATGGTAGCGTCGACTGCACTGCACTGTCCATCCACTCCTTATGCACTGCGGCGTTCTTGTAACTTCAGCGAAAATACACTAAATTATGCACTTCCGATGTAAATAGCCTGTGTTTAACTCTTCCATTTTCAGTATATAATATATAAATGCCTCATAAATGGTACAAATACATTTACACATAGTAGATGGCAGTGGATGAACAAAAGTCATTCACTTACAGTAAATTTTTGTTTGATAAAATATGCACATCTCGTTTGCAGTGTATTTAGCCAAATAAATCTTCTTCCGTCTTTCTAGACAGTAGACAAATAGATTATTATGATCATTCAGCTATTATCAATTAGTTATTCAATTTAGATTTCGATTCCAAGTGAATTAATTGGTTCAATTCCGAGACCAGAGAATTTACTCCAAGCCACTATCAGCTATGAAAGCGATCTTATATCACGTGGAGTATTACATGAAATACAACTGAAAGCAATTGAAGCAACTCTTCGAGAACTGGAGGATATAACTCATTCTGAAATACTGACAGATGGTGAACAAACAAAACCATCATTCTTAACATATCCCATTTATGAATTAATCTACGAATATTATCGATTTGATAATGACTGTTTTAAAATTACTTTCAGTGATGGTCATGTTCGAGCATTACCGCGCCTCATCAAAGGACTATTTTGCTATGCAACATATGCTTACAAGTATTTAAATGTTGCTAAACACTTTACTAAGAAACCAGTGAAACAAGCTGTTATCACAGCATCAGCATTATCAATGGTCTATTCACCGACGCTATCGGACAACACTATTGAAAATTATCCAAGGGAGCAATTCCTTCGAGATTTATGTAATGAATGTGAAAAAGATATTCGATTGTGTTTAGGTAAGAGTTATTGTATTTGGCGTCATCCATTGAATCAAATGGGTTTTTGATCATCAGAAAAGAAAAAGCTAATTTGTGAAGCGAGCTACTTATCAGAAACATTAGTAACTACTGTAGAAGGATTGTA